TAGGACACCAAGTAGTCGGTTTGCTTCATCCGAGTCATCTAATGATGGCTCTTCCATGAGTGCTCTAGCACCCGATTCTCGTACTGCCGGGATGATGCGGGTAGCGCAGTAAAACACTATTATTCGATAGGTCAAGGAAATCATCACCGATGGCGCGATAGTCTGGAAAGCGGCATGAAGAAAACTCAGCGATGAGTAGACCGCAGATGGCAAGGACCCGAGTAAGTGGAGGAAGGTCGAATAGCTTGCCATGATGATAGGCGGCAAAGGGGGAAACTCAGGTTGGTTAGCAGCCTGCTCAAGCGCGGCTGCTTGGGCCTCGGGCGATTGATTGTAATCGGTAAATATCTGATAGACGCAGAGAACAACGTAGGCGAAGAGGAACGAGGACTCGACGGGATTCCCTCGGCCCGTGACGATGCCGATGGCGCACAAGAAAAAGGCGGACGTGACGGTCACGCCAATCAGAGTCGCGTCGATGTTGCCGATAGTAGGGAAGAGAGCTACTCTCCAGAGGAAATACACGGCGGTTGCGATAACGGAAGCGGAGAGCATAAGGAGGATGAGCTACAAGGTGATCATTAGCATACCCTGATTTTGGTTCTTGAGGTAAAAGTGAATATGACTTACGATCCATGTATCGCTTCGCCCTCTGTTCACAAGCCATCTGGAGATCTGACCGGCCGCCTGGATCACGAGCAGAGTACAGAAACCCTCGGCTAGTTGGAAGACGGGGCTGGAATAGCACAGGGTCTTGTCCCAGGCGCCGAGAGTGACGGATTCGACAAGGCCGCCATTTCCAAAGATCCATTCGGTCCAGGTGGCATGTTTCCGATGGCCCAGCCCACCAATAGTTCTCGACACCCAGTCGGTGCTGCTGGCATCGACGGCGAAGTTGTGCAAGGACCAGATCAGGAGGGCGGGTATGACAACCCACTGCGAGGTCTGTAGCACCTTGGTCAAAGTCCACCGCACACCACGCGAGTCATCCGGTGTTGCGAGCTTGGCCGTGCTGTAGACGAAGTAGAAGCTGAACAGCCCCAGGCTGTAGGCCAGGCCCGTGTCGCGTCCGCCTACATCGAAAGCGATAGGTATAGAGAGGATTATAGTCAAGAGAAAGAAGGAGCTCGAGACGATACGGAAGAACCACCACATGGACGCGGTGATGGTGGCGGTTGCCGCGCCGAGCGAGCGAGGCGGCTTGCCAGGGCGATGGACAGCTTTGTCTAGTGAGGATGAGAGGATGAGACGACTAGAGGGGGGCTCTCGGAAGTATTGGTAGCGAGAGGCAGGCTCTTCGATTCAACGACGACGGCGGGCTAGATTTGGAGACGTGACTGGGGTTGGCGATAGGGATGACGTCGAGGTTGAGACTGAGACTGAGGCATACGCATCGATGTCGTCGAGAACTTGGGTATGACAGCGGACGACGACAATAAGTGAGGTTGTGATGATAGCGACAGCAGGTCGGCGGGTGGTTCGTGGTTTGTGGTTTAGGCGAGGTGGGTGGGTAGGTAATCGCGCGGTCGAGGTGGGATGTCCGAAATTTCGAGGGTCAAGGAAAGACAAGGCAGAATCTAAGTAGGTAATAGATGAGTGCTTAGGTGGTAGCAGGCAGAGAGGAGAAAAATGGGGGTCAGATGACAGCGCTTGTAACTTGGCGGATAGCCTTAGTCGAAGTAAAATGGGAGCTCTGTCTATCCTGCTCGATGTTGTTTGGGCGCGATTACTCGGATGATGGAAGGGAGGGTTCTATTTGATCTAAGTCCAATTATGAGGTTAATGTGACATCTACTTGCCCGCCTAGAGATAGGTGGTGGTAGGTACCTAAAAGACCTAAAAGGCTTAGGCGGGTCAGGTAGGTAGGTTAGGTAAGATACCTCTTAGAGTACAATATAATAGCACCGTGACCTATTGAAATGATGTATGTGGCACTCTGGTGGAAGCGATGTTGCCAGGTGGCTTGTCGGTGCCTCTATCCAACGCTATGGGACTATTCACATACACTTGTAGCAGCCGGACAGACTTGGCAGCTGGCAAGATTTCGCATCAATGAGGGATGAATATAAGTAATGTATTTGTAAATACTTACTATATACACCCTCCTGGAAGGCTTCGAAAAAAACTTACAAAACTTGACAACGTTTCTCACGTGCACACAAAACAAACAAAATCATCCATCTTGTGATAACGTGGACCTTTTAGGACTAGGGCATGGAAAGCTACCTCATATGTGCCAGCAAGTGGAGCTGATTTCCCCTTTACGCAATAGCTGGATGAGCATCAATAAAAAATCAGGCTTGTGTTATCTTTCAAGAATCTGGCATCATCAGCGCAAGGTACCAAGTACTAAGGGATATTAGTATTAGTAGAGCCAGTGATGGTTAGACCCACTGGGATCCACTCAAGTACACTGCAGTGCCCCTCTACCCCTCCAGCTCCTTGCTCGAGGTCATCAAGCTGTGAGCTGAGCGGTATTCTCATGCATACTATGAGTTTTATCGTAAACAAGTTATGATAACAAGTTTGAGTGAATTACGTAATTAAGAATTAAGAATTCAACTCTGGAAGATACTACTCTAGTACTGTAAAGGCATAGGAAGTACTGTGTGGGGTGAAACTTTCAAGCTCTTGTGTAATGATCGATGTACCTGTCCCCCGTTTAGCTTGATTACTTAAGTGCCAGTGTGCATACTAGTACTTGTCGGAGTGAGCTGTATACCACAATTGCAACTCTACTAGGCAGGAACCCGATCAATGAGAATAAGCCCAAAAATTTCGTCTCAGTCAGATGCCACGAAGCAATTTCATGTTAGTACCTCACAGCCCGCTTAGAGAGTCAACCAGTCTCACAACCCTTGAGAAGTATGCATACATATCATGACTCGTTCGACTTGGGCAGCTTACACAGCGTTCCTTAGGAGTGCAGCAAGTACATATATTGTAAGCTGACAGATGGTCCTCGCAAAGACCAGCCAAATAATGAATCAGCACAGCTGTCTCAGGAACTAGGGATGTGGCGGCAGGCAGAGGCTGAATAGAGACGAAATGGCCTTCCACTTCGTAGATCAGTTCGATATCAATAACAACAAGGAGAGGAGGCTCATTCGGAGCCATGTCATGAAAGGGAAGAATGTTGGCAAGAAGAGACAGAGAAGGGCACAGCATTCCGAATCAACGGCCAACAAGTCTGTTGTACTCCATTGGACGGGTGTTGGTAATAAATCCACCTCAACTACGACTTTAGAGCGCTCACAGTGCTTCGACACCTCCATCCTTGCCGTGACTCGTCAGATTGCGAATGACCTCAGCCTCTTGCCCTCTACGAGAGGAATCCCTCCGGAAACGATGGTTCATATTCGGCAAAGTAAGACATCTGAAAAGCCCCCCCTGCTGATGGGACAATCACTGATTTCATCTTCAAGTGTCTTCCTATATCCTCGATATTAGCTCACCTCGCGAGTTTTGTCAGTCCACTGGGGTGACTGAGTCGATATGGTTCCGACTGGCGTTCTACAACAGGGCATGTGAGTTGTGGCCTACGTGTTTCTTCGCTTGCCCGGGGTTGATCGGTGATTTCACAGACTTTCACTGCACAGTAGCTATAGCTTCTGCATGTGCCGCCTTTTTGACAGAAGACTCATATCACTCCCCAGTCGCGCTATGCCACATGTCAGAGGCATATCGCCTCGTTAATAAAACGCTCTCGAGCGACGAGCTATTGTCTGATGACACCGTTGCCGTGGTAGCAGCCATCAATATCTACGATAGGCTTCACGGCGATCCTCAGAAGGCCATGGTCCATCTCAATGGGCTCACAAGCTTGATCACACTGAGAGGCGGCATCAGCGAGCTTGCGGGAAGGAACATCGTCGTAGCTGAGAAAGCATTTCGGTACGTCTGAGCCTCCTAAACGCAGACGCGGCAGCTTGTCAACTAACTAACACCGTCTCGGAGATGTGACGTCGAACTTGCGCTTTCTTGTGGCACAGCCCCGAAATTCTCTTCAAAGCACGTGCCTCGCCATCTCGTCCTCGTAGATTTAAGGGGCTGTCTCGAGCCTTGCAAGCAAGGAGAAGCTGAGGCTCACGAGTCAATTCTATACAATTCGGTAAGCGCAGAACTCAGCGACGTAGTACTAGAAACCCTCCGGTTTGCACAATTACTTAACCGAGCGAGCCGCGCACAGAAGCTAGATTCAGTAGCTTACCAGTGCACTCTCCTCTATATCGGTTACCGACTTCTCGAAATCAAGCCTTCCCGCTATGGCTCCGATGCCGACGCCGATTTCAACCTCCTGGTACAGCTAGCCCTAACTGGCTTCCAGAACACATTCTGTTTCGGCATCGGTCGGAAGATCATGACATTCCCTCTCTTGATAGAACGGTTCAGATCCGTAGCTCAGACCATTCACGGAACCAACGGACCTCAACAAATGATAGTAGTCTGGGCGTTACTCATGGGCAGAGTCTCAGCACTTACGCGCGACGATGACTTCTGGCTTGTCCCGAAGTTAAAGACACTTGTCAATGAGCTGGGGCTTCGGACTTGGTCCGAAGTAAGCCATGCGCTTTGCCAGTTTCCCTGGGTCAAGGCCACGCACGAAGCACCTGGAGAAGAATTCTGGAACACGAAACTCGCGCACGCCGCACCTCTGCAACCAGCTATCATTAAATAAGGCGTATATTCCCTACGGATGAGTAGCCTACATCGTGATTCGTCGAGTGAACATGTTCAGCTTTTATGAAAGACGCATGCATCATTTTGATAGATTCGAGGCCGCGAGTAATCAGTCAGCGCTGATATCATATTCCGCACAGAAAATCCTGCTCAGTATTTGCAAGTGAAGTTGGTAAGTTTATACAAGACACAAAGAGACATGGATATTGTTTTATACCTCTTAAATCTTACAAGGGGAACAGTAGCCATAGTATTCCTGATAACCTGTGAGCTTGCATGTTGCATGGGATCCAGTGCATCCACGCCCGCTTGTTTGTCTCGGCTCAATGGTCTAGTGGTATGATTCCTGCTTCGGGCTTTATTGTCCTCCCATCACACATGGGAATGCAGGAGGCCCCGGATTCGAATCCTGGTTGAGCCCTTGTAATTTTCTTTTTGCCCCGGTCAGCTAACGTTCTATATTCTTTTCGCCCGCGGGGAAATCCGAGAAGTCTGGGGATGGATGTGGTGGCCTTAAAATGGTAGGGATATATATGTGTGTGTGCGTGCGCGATGTATGGGGTTTACGGAACCTCATAATGCGCGGCATGTGTATCTAAGCTGTGTCGGACAGAACTGCCAGTGATACTGATCGATTATCTTGTTGATGCTATTCCGACCTCATGAGCCTAAGAAAGACGTGTGTTGTAGCAGCTAAGCTCATCCTCGCTCAAGTAGATGAGCCTGCCAAAGGGATCTAAGCCGGCGCATGGACTCGAAGATAAAACGTATACGTCGCCATCAACCCGCGATCTCCGGCGTGAGATTCTTCATGTTCGTCAAGAAGTTCGAAGTAACACGCTGGCCGCTGAACTCATCAATGACAACAAACATGCTGTCCTTGCATGGGATGAGCTCGCCGACCGTGAATCTAATTGATACTATACTATGCCCTATAACTCCACGATCATACGCATTTTCGCCATCCGATCTCAAGCTCACTTGCGGTCACGAACATCACTTGCCCCTCCGATCATAGGCACCCACCGGTACTGGTCCTTAGGCATTAGTGTTAGCCCAGGTTTGTTTGACCACACCACTGTTCTCGACCAAGTGACATGGCATATACGATGAGTAGGTCAATACGCCTAACACGGTCCATTCCTCCATATTGAAGACCGCGTCTTCTGTATTTGAGTTCTTTTTGATGAAAGTCATGTTGCTGTTCTTGCCCGGGTCGCACTCATGTATAAGGTCTCGGCAGTCCCAGGAAGCGGTACTGTTCGTGATTAACTAAGTGGGCGAAGCCTTCTGACATGAACTCCGCCTTCCATCTTCTTACACAATGTCGTATTTAGGCCATTGGAACAGCCGACGTACGTCGCCGTTGCTGGTGGGTTCGTGTTCGACATTGGGAACCTCCTCATCTCTATGTCCGTCATCACTACGCCAAAGGGACACTGAGACTTCTCCGTCTTCATGTACGTACATGACTGGGGGGAACACGATTCGCGGTCTGCGGGCATCGAGCGATTGAAGACGTGTCATGACCTCGTCCGCATGCGCTCTCAGCGACACTATGAACATCATATACTCTTATAACGCTCACTAAGACGACTCGCCATAAATATATATAGGCCAGCTAAGTAATGTTTATTCTCTGTAAACTATAAGGTGTATCGCAAATGTTCTATATGTCATATGCTCCCCCGCCACACCATGCAACCTGAGTCTATGTATATGGGTGACCGCGCCTATGCTTGCTAGTTGGACAGAACGAAATGTGCGGCGCCGTCGTGATGAGATAAATGAGAATAAATGAGCAAAAGGGAAAGAAAAAGCAAAGAACAAACTTGGAGCAAGCGGCGTAATGTAGTTTAAGACCGAGTGAAATGATTGCGTACTCTCCACGCGGCAAAAGTAGTCTTACTCTCAATGATCTTCGACGTCTTCGTCGCGCCCAGGATACATGATATCCTGCTTGAAGACAGCCCTGATGTGCGAGGCGAGCACGAAGACATACATCAACACGAGTAATATCGACATAGCTGAAGTGAACCTCAACACATGCGGATTCTTGAACTCTTTGGCGATGGAAATGGTTGCTAAAATGAAACCTGTGTTTGGGAAGACCATAGCCCACCAACCGAGATGGAAGTATTTGGGTCGCGACCTGATTACGGCGACAGCCGCGATGCTGAACCACCATAGTGATAATCCCCAGAGGAAGATGGCGGCGATCAGGGCGAAGGTGCGGATTACACCGAGGTCTAGGGTGCCGCCTTGTTGTCGGTCCAGGGACTCTGGTAGACCGTTTGCCATCCCAATTAAGGCGAGAGCTGTAAATGCTGGCGGGCCGACATTCATGAACAGGCCGGGTCGGTGTTCTCTATTTGGTAAATCTATGAAGATTAGTGGGCGGTCAAGATAAGTGTGTTTCTTGGGCTTTGCATGAACTTACCAGCTTGCATGAGCCTTCCAACCATATGTGCGTACATCAGGATAGACACTGAAATGCCCAACCCCTGAGCACCCAATCCTCCGATAATAATGGGAACGGCAGCAATGTCCGGCTGTGTGGCAGCAATTACCGAGGCGATGGTCCCGCTAAGCATCACGGGGAAAATGGGCAGGATCCAAGTAGGCATCATCGTGGTGAGCGCGAATTTGTGTTTTGCGAATAAGTGGCTGTACTGTCCGACGGCTAGAGCGAGAGTGACGATGAGATATCCCCAGAATGCGGTGAGAATTACCCATCGCAAAGGGGCATCATTCCTTGGCACAACATAGCGCTCCGTACTGGTGATAATGGTGGCAAGGGCTAGAAAGAAGGTTGGAAAAAAGAGACCTTCACGCGCATGAGTAACCGAACTGCGGAGATCATCTCGATATAAGCAGAAGCGGGTAATCATGCAGGCGACGACCGTTAAGAATATGAGAAGGTTCGTGACGTATACAGCGAATCCTATTTGTCGCAGACCGGGGAATTGATAGGGTTGAGCGTAGATTACTATGAAGACGCAAGGTCAGCCAATCAATTCAGGATTCATCGGATCAACATCAAAAACTAGGGAGAGTGGTGTAAGTGCGTCTCTGAACCCATGCATGTTGAAGTCATGCAATAGAGTGAAAGAATAAAGATACTGACAGAGAGATAACCCGCCCGTGCTCATTGGTAAAGTAAACCATGCCCATGTGAAATGGTGTATGCGCTGACGAAAGCCCAGCTTTGGTCGATTCGGGTCATAAATGTCGATGCCATCGTGAGTGCCCCTTTTCTCAACATCGACCTCAAAACTCTGACGTCTGGAGTTCACTGCTGTCGGGGCATCTTCGAGTGGACTGCCGGGTCTTCTGTTCGCTTTGGGGTCATTTAGAACTGGAAAAAGTAGTCCTGCTGGTGACTCCTCCGGGACAGGAAATTGGCCCGTCATCGAGCCTGCCATCGTGCTTGCGGATTTGGATGAATCTCGTGTATGTAGTTGTGGCCTCTTCTCCATCGTAGATGAGAGCTTGGTATAATGTACAAGATCTTAAAATTAACAAATTGTGAAGAGAGTGTACGAATTAAATGAAATGGGTAGTAGGTGCTGTGTGACTTGTCGAATGACGCAATGACGGGGGTGCCGAAAAGTCAAAAGGAAAAAGGTTCAGTCCCCTATATATAGTGAGAAGGTTTCTTGAGTGTCAAGGTCAGTACGAATACCTTACAAGAGGAATCGTACAAACTGTACGGTCCGCCCAATAGTTACTGTGTTGCAGATCCTCGAGTGAGTGCATGTGGCTTAGAACAGCGGCTTGCGTAACAACAACATAGCAAATCATTGGGCTTTTTTTTGATGCCGTCTGTACTCGTCGACCATGTATGTTGCCATAATGATCACCGGAACGCTGGGTGACCCGCGAAGAGAACACGCACACAAGAAGACGTGCATGTCTGTGTCCTAAAATTTTCATGCGCATATGCCATGTCAAGAGCTCCATCATTATCGTCTGGGCAAATGTTTCAACGTCAAAATTCTGAGCATTAGCACGGATAGTCTGGGAAAGTGGGCACAAAATGATGCCCAAAGTGTAAGACCAGATCTTGGCAAGGGGAATATGATATCGAGTTTTCAAATCACCGTAAAGCAGAGTTGGGCAAGTGGACCGAAACGGAGTCAAGGGGAAATTTCGTTGCCAGTGAATAGATAGGTCCCGCATGGTCTTGCCCCAGACTGCGGTCGGTGATCGTCAGAAAGTTCCCAACTATCAAAGATCTCAACGGTACACCGTAACTCCAGCACAACGCATTTCGTTACTTGCACCTGTGCGCGCATCGGAGGCAAATTTTCTTTCGATCCAGAGAATGTCTTTTTAGTCAGAACGGATGATATGCGGTGGGTAGAGTTAACTCACCACAAGTTGCTATCGAATATATTCGATTAAAGCATGATAATTTCGCAAGTCGTCAAAGGCCACTGTCAAGGAGGTGAGGTGCCAAGACGCCAAGGGGTCATAAAGGATATTGGGAACTATAAGCCACAGTCCCAAGACTTAACAAGGCCATTCGTTATCAGCTTGGCATGCGAGGATCACCATGAGCCGCAAGATGTTTACTGGGTTGTTTAAAATTGTCGTCCCAATGAATGCCCAGACCCAGGGGAATCGGCATGGGTTAGAGACCGGATATCATTGGCCCCTGTATTATACCTACGATCGCACCTTGTCCTGGTTTGTCTGGCAGTCCTGGGAGACAGGGAGAGCCGATGTGCTCGGCAGCCACATGTGCACCTTGTCCATCCGTTCACCGTCCACCATTCCACGTTCCAGTTCCACTCGGAGGTATCACCAATGGGGCCGATGCACAATGCAACAATGTTTCTCCAATTTTCGCAAGTTTCAATACACGGCTTCGCATGCAACGTTTCGGATTTGAGATATCAGAAAAAGCCAGTGCCCCATCAGAGCCGCTGTTTGACGGTGCGGCGCTTGGCCCATCTTGGCCGGGCTTGGCCGCTGGTGAGGCGTATGTGGCGTTGCGGGAAGCTGGGTAAGTCAGTACCTAACGCAGCAGGTACAAGTTCTCTAGAACGTCACGTCGCGTCGGCTCAGCTGCCGAATGGTCTTGCTGCTTCGGCATTTGGGCCCCCCGCCCGGGAATAATTTTTGTGATGCTGCGTTGGCTATCGCCACACGGCTGCTTGGCATCGCGACCTCGATGACAGTTCGGATGCGGTGTGCCGACCATCGCGGGGTCTAGAACAACGGTAATGGTGAAGGTATTGTCACATTTCTCAGAAAGCCGGTACATATAAGATAGTAGACTATCGGTAGATAAAAAGATCTAATGACTATGGAGTACTTACACAGAAATATGAAGCGAGTGTGTTGACAGACGTAGTGGGTAGAAAGTTTCATGAGAATGGAAAGATTAATGGCCTTAATTGCTTTAGGTAGTTA